TTTACTACATAGGTGACATTGGAACTACTGCACACAAATTTAATATATTGTACATTTATTTTGTAAAATGGAGACTAAGTTAATGTACCCATATCTAATACACGAACTGATAAATATGCATTTTGCTGAATTAAGTTTATAATTTATTAATGTTTAAAGTATATTAATATTAAAATAGAAATATTATAGAGTATTTAGTTTTATTATTTATTGTCCGAATCAGATATTCAAACACTATTATAGATTTATCCACTTTTCAATTATATTAAAAATTTAAATTAATTCTTATCTTTGGATTTTTTTTTTTTTAATTTATGTAATTTAGTAATTAATTAGAAACTCTATTGTGAAATTTTTATCTTGAAAAATAACTAATTAAAATTAATAAATTTACTAATATTTATTATCATTTATTATACCTAATAAAAAAGGAAGTTATTATATACGAATATAAATTGTTTATTAAGATTAATTGGTTGATTAAAAATTAAAATATGACAAAAACAAAAGAAGGTATCTACTATGAATTATAATTATAATTTTCGCATACCTACCATTAAAAATAATATTACATTTTATATAATCATCAATATAAGGCTTATAGTATCTATATAGCATCATCTAGTATACCATAACATTAGTAAATATATTTAATCTCAATGATGTCGTTGCATTTTTAATTCCTCGACTCTCGTTAACGATAATAAAAATAATGTTAGTATGTACTACGTTTTCATAGTACCTACTTAGGTTATAAGTTTAGAACTATTGTTTATTTCGTATTCCGTAGCGATACAGATACGTACGTTCATGAGAACTGCTTGCTGGTGTACACTCGTACAATACATTATAAAATAGAATAATATGCGTATCACTGTCGATTGATCAAACATTTAAGAATAACACTCACCCAGTATTCAAGTTAATTAATTCGAAAATATACAACGTGTGTGTATATTATAGCCGGCAGACGCCTCCGTCGCCGCTCATCGTATAAACCTCGTCTTCTTAAGTGGGTGCCGAGAGCGACCAGGTCGGGTCCCGTTAAGTGGTGGTCAATAAAATAAACACTTGCTCACCGCCACCGGTAGATCGTTTTGGTCGGTTTAAAGCCATATTTTATATTATAAACGCGATATTTTCTGTCAGATAAGAGAAGAAGAATATTATTGGGCGCTATGACTGGTGTATGGGAACTCAATTCGACGTTTTAATATCCTATCGTAATGTTTTTTTTTTTAACTGTTGTGTTACTTTTTTCTTTCTTCTTCTCACGTGCCCACCGACTTTTTATCTGGTTTGGACAGCAGGTATGAGGATCGTAAATCAACGAGCACAAAAAACACACACATTTGCGTGCGTCGGACTACAGGGGCGAAAATTAAGGTGGACTTTTAAGTATAAATTAATATGTCAGTGTTTACACAGCACTGGTGATACCGACAAGGTTACGTGGGTGCTCTGCGACAAGGAACGATAAATGTCTGTTTCTTTTTTTTTCATTAACCGCATCGAATGATCTATAAATATCGTTTGGGAAAATAACCGTGAAGCTGTGAACGCTTTTAGTATTAACTCACAGACACCGTTTTGACGCGGTACGGAGAAACTGTGGAGAGCAATAAATTTTAAGTTTAGTACTTCAAAATCTAAATGGATTGAATAATACATTATATTAATGTAATATATATACCTAGTTTATATAGTAATAGCTGTAATGGCTTAATTGACTTATGACAACAATTAAAAAATAACTTTTTATGATCTACCTGTATAGTGGATATATGTACAGTACATTTAAACAAATATAAAATCCAAAATACATAAAACTAAGATTAAATTATTATAATTTAAAATTTATAAAAACTTCCATCTAAGATAAAATACAAAATCAAATTATGATAATACATAAACTAATACCTATTTAATTATTTTTTTGCCATACGTTCAAATAATCAAATTTATATCAATATATTTAATTGTCAAGTATTTACAATGCAGCGTTATAAACTTATAACGTAAAACTAAAAATAACACGAGTTTTATATAATTTGGAAGTGAATGCTAAAAATGTAATAAAATGTTAAAATATATTTTTTTCAGAAACTCCTGTCAAAATTGACACAAAAATCATTCATTACTTCCTATTATGTTACATACACAATAAGTACATTATTTATCATCACACACAATGGTACATATAAAGTCTGCCTTAATTTTCCTTAATTTGAATTATACAATAATATTTAAAATTCCACATAAATAATTTTGTATCTATATTTAATTATGAGTATTTTATAATAGTTTGTTAGATTTTGTATATAACTAAACATTTTACTCGTTAGCGTTTTAATTAGGTATTAAAAGTATTTCAAAATGTATAATAGATATGCAGCGTTGAACGTATCATAAATTAGAAATCGGTTATTAATCATACTTCATAGTTCACACAACAAAGTATGCACCAACAGTTATTGTATATTTAAGGTATTATTATATTAATAAGAAAATATTTAATTAAGTTTTAATAAAATAAAGAACAAACCCATTAAAATTAAATACAAGACTTACAATAAAAGTAAATAGATTCAATTCACCAAACACCTGAATAAATATAAAAAAATCTCTTAAATTCATCAAAAATAAATGATTACCCATAAAAATGTCTAATATACCTATTAATTTCAATTCGTAGGCGATTTTCAATCTTAAGTCAATATTTTGCTCACCGCGATACATAAAATGATTTTATTTTAAAACTTTCTTTTTAATAAAAAAAGGAGAATATTGTGTAATTATCATTTTAATATCCATAAAATATATAAAACAGTAAGACAATTAATCGTAGAAGCTTTTTATAAAACTAATAAAAAAAATTTAATATGAAACAATCTACATTTATTTACTTGTTTTTGAATAAAAATACATTGGTGTATGCATATACTGGCTATACTTTACTGACAATTTTATAAATAATACGAGTTTATAGCCTTCTAGCGAGTTGAATATATGTTGAGGTCGAGAAATATATTATTATAGATTCTCAAATCACACGCACTAGTGCTCTGTACAACTATGCACACCGCACCGAACAATATAATGTACGGACGATGATTATGTGACAACATCAAAATAGTCTGAATACACGTACTCAAATGCATACGTAATATTTGTTTAAGAAGCTCAAAAAACTTATTGGTATAGAAAAATCTTTGTAAATTATAAATTTTATAGTTAATGTTTCATAAAATAATGTCATTCATCAGTCAGTACCAGTTAACGGTTAGTTAACATTTTGGCAGAACAATTAGGAAATTCAAAATTTTTTTAAAATCAAAACTCATAACGTTAAAATATTGACATATTACAATAATTATTATATAATGACTGCGACAAATCAATAATCGTGTATTTTATTAATTACCTAGCTATTCCAATTATTGAACATAAAAATATAATACTCAAACAGTCAAACCCATTAAATATAAACTAATAGGTACCTAATCATATTAGGTTTGGGTAGATTGGAAAAACTACACAACTTATGCCATACATGACTTCGAGTAATCAAAAGTAAATTTAAATCACATTAAAAAGTATGCACACTAGCACACTAATATACGAGCTTATAGAATTTTATAATTGAATTGTAAAAATAAATATTTTTTTTTTTTTATCTTCGAGAACTGTTTTGACGTTTGAAATATTTTCTCACGTTTATACATCCCGCCGTATACGCACTTATATGTTTAATATTTTATACTATTATATACAATACGACGACGGCGTATATTTTATTCACGATACAAATTTTGTATAGACGCGGCGCACAGGGTGGCAAACAGACTGGGGATGGTGGCGAAACGATTATAACATAATATTATTATTTATTATGTAATAATATCTGAGTATTTTAAAACTTTCAAGTCGGATACACGTTATTGTCTACTGCGACAGTTCGAACCTACTGCGCCGCCGCCTAATAATAATATAAAATATTACAATCTAAATCGGACGTATCCGCCGATTATATTATTATAACATCTCCGATGTTTCTCACATGATATTGTGCGCCAACACATCTGTATATATTATACGCACGCACACCGATAAAATACACACCGACACAGACGCGCAGAGGTTATTATAAACACGACACGGTGGCGGCGGCGGCGGCGGTCTCTTTGGTGGTCAGACGAATCACATTCATTACGCTGACGGTACCAGCGGTGATTATCGTCGTTGGATTTCCGCCGCTACAGCGGTGTAGGAGATCTTTCTAATTGAATGTACTATATTATATTATTATTATTATTATTATTTATATATATATTATAATACGTAGGTATACGCAACGGCAACGAAGTATTCAGAGTGGCGGCGGGGGCGGGTACGTCATAAAGTCACAACATCTTGACACGATATATAATGTATAAATATATACGAGCAGGACGAGTATATATTTTCAAAAATTAATGAAAAACATAATATATTATAACCGGCGTATCTAATATAATAGGTATATAATACAGTTATAGTCACACACAAGCCTTTGTCGTCGTGCACGACCTGAACGAGTGTCTGCAGACATCACACGGTTTGGTTTTGTTTTTTTTTTTTTTTCTATCAAAAACTCGACTGTGTTACCACCCCAGACGGACACGCCACTCTTTCACTCTTTCACACCACTGCGAGCTATAAAATATGTGTTTTTAAACCGCCAAATTATGCGAGTTCAAACTTTTAATAGAGGTGTGTATCAAATTACTATTTTATTATTTAATAATCATAGTATTTAATAATGTAAGTACGAATAATAAACGCGGTTGTCCCCCATACACCGATTAATCGATGATTTTTAATGTATACGAATGTCGATATTTTTCAAAACCGTTCAGTTTGGATAAATACATATGATTATAATCGTATGGTTTTTAATATAATCTCACGTTATAACAACATAATATTCATATCGAGTATAAACGTTTTAGACGACTTACGATATTGACGAAATCTTGAAAAGTTATAGCCGACGTATTTGATAGGCGAGCTCGTTCTAGGAGGATATCACGTTTCTCCTGAGATATAAATTTCACGAAATCCGACGAATTCAATAACATCAAGAAATCGTTCCACGGAATTTCACCAAAACCTTCAGGGTCATACTAATAAAATGTCAAAAAAAAAAATATATGAATTTCATTATAATATAATAATGAATCTTGACGATGATGAGTTATTGTAATGTAACCCATGCCGCACTTACTTTATCAAATATACTTCTCCATTTCTGTAGAAAAAAATAATAATAAATAAATTAAACACACATGCTTATTACTATTACCATCATTAGTTATAATTATACAAACATCATTTAATATGAAGTCTTTGAACAGACAATTTTTTTCCGATTGTGTACTGGACGATTCAATTCCAGAAACGGATGAGTCGAATGACGCCAAAGGTGCTAAAGGACTGTGATGATATAGATCCGACGATGGATTGATCACAGAAACCATGAGTTCAAAATATCTTCGGCTCACTCTCATCGCAAATATTTATCTATAAGTATAAAATAAAATTATAAATAATCAGTTAACTAAAATAATTATAAAATTATTAAGTTTTTTATATTTTATAAATACATTAAAAATGTCAATAATTAATCAGATATATATATAACGATTCACTTATAAGCATGCTCAATTACTGCACCCCATGTTTTTAAGAATTGTCCTATGATGATACGCGTGGTGATAATGTTTTTAAAAAATGTTGATGTTTATAAATCGAAATTTGTATGAGTAATTTCTAAGTTGTCAAATTTTAATAGCTGAAGATAAAATATACCAAAATACCATAATATCATAATTTAATCTCTTAATTCCAATTTTTAATTAAATGTTGAGCAATTTAATTATTAAATTGTTTTATAGTATTAAAAAGTAATACTATGTTTAACCAATTTTCTTATTTATTATTTTTTCATAAATAATTAAAATTTTAACAATGCTGAAAAATATGTAATAAACAGAAGTAAAATGAAACTATAAATAATTTTTCAAATTATGTGTCATTCTTTTTTTATTGTTATTTTAAATACTGGTTTCTATCAAAGTTAACGAAAGGTGGTAATTTAAAAATAAATCTAAAAGATTTGATTAAATTAAAAAAATATCTATAAAACATATTGTGAACTCAATTATGTATTATTGAATTTGAAATAATGTAATTACCTACGTAAGTTTTATATCTCAAATGTAGATAATTAGGTATTATTATTCGTACAAATAATTGATAAAATATAAAAACAGCTACATCTTATTTGTTCCATACGTATTAAGAATCTGTATAAAATATAAATCAAAGATGCTCTTATTGATAAATAATTGTAGTATGTGTATAATATATTATAAAGTATCTGATTGATAAAAAATAATAATGAAATGTTAGTAGTTAAAAATTATCCAAACCTGTATAAAAGGAACAAAATACATTTAATATTTAATATTTAATATGTCGGATATATAAGCGTATCAAAATTGAACCTTGAATAACCAACCGCATAATACTCAACTATCAAATATTAAACAAAGTACATTAATGTACTGTAGTTTGATATTTTATCATTTATATTTTTTCTAGAATGTATGCAATAAGAATTTTAATGAATACTTTGGCTTGATTTCGAATTTAAATGTATCAAAATATTTGGCACTCGTAACTTGACACTTATAACGCGCTTATATATACTGATAATTTATGTGTCAGTAATTTATGTTAATAAATAAAATATAAAATATTATCCTGAATTCTATATAAAAAGAAATTGAATGTTTAAAAACTAAGAAATCTTGATGATTAAATTTGTTTACCCTTTTTGTCAACATATGTACTCGTATGAAAAATCATATTAATTTATATTCTGTTAGAATGAAATAAAATTTTGTATTTCAATATGAATCATACCATGAAGTTAATTAAATAGATTAAAAGTACTATTAATATTTACTTTTCAGAAAAACCAATAAAAAAAAAAAAAAAAATACATTTTGAAATCATGTTTAATTTTTTTTACATAATAATTCATAGTTATTAAGTATTAGAATAATTTATAATTAGTAACAAAATATGATTTTTATACTTTATTCGTTAAAAAATTCCGCCCATTGCCCTATTATGCCCTACTATAGCCATTAATAATCACAAAACATAGTAAACATTAGTCAATAATAATAATATGTATGTGTAAGTGTAGCTTTTAAGTAAAATAATAAAAATTAATTACAGTTAAATACAATATGTAAAGAATAAAATCAAGGACTTGTGTCGTAGTCATGTAGCTTAAGCAATAAATAAGAAAAAACCATTTTTTTAACAAAATATTATGTTATATTTTAAAATACAATTGAATAATAAAACGCCATCTGTAAGATGAGTACACAACTATTAAATACGTTAAGTTAGCTGCCTATAGATTAAATTTTCAGGCACCATTATTCAATAGTGCGTGCACATAATATTATTATACTTGTTTAAATCGGCAAAATGCTACATAATAATCAATTATGTATTAGTGTTTTGTTACGATTTATACATTACTAACTCATAGTTTATGTCACAGTCAATCAATTGACTTAGGTTAATAAAACACAGGAACTTTGAGAACGAATATATGTTATTTGCATAGCTAGTAGTTAAGTTTGGATTACGAAGTAAAGACTAACAAACACTAACTTTTACATTTTTAACATTTCATTTTAAAATGATTTATTATAGGTATACTAATATATCTTAAAGACAAATTATAATACATTTCTGTATCACATATTAATAAATTAAATAGTTCTACTAGCACTCCGTAATTCATGCAGAGACATGACATTTAATATCACCCTTAAGAGCAACGTTACTTAGTTAATAGGTAATATATTATATTATTTTATTACTTTTTCAAATATTGAATACATTAGTTTTGTTTACGATGCTACATCGTTTTTGATTTTATTAGTTTGAACGCACGTCATTCATTACTAAGATCTTCTTAACATAGAAAACTTAAATTATTTTTGTCCAAAAACCCGGTTCACGAAACCGGTTTGTATATAGGAATAGCCAATTAACTACTCCCTTTAATTGGAAAGGATTAAGTAATAATATCGACAGCTATTTCATATAAAATATTGAAGGATGTGTGCTGTAGTATAACACTATACAATTAATTGTAGTAAGTAAATAGTTTTGTTACTAAGTATTTAATTCACATTAAATAATTATTATTAATGGGCAATATTGATTATTTAATTCTAAACAGAGCAACAACGTACCTAAAAATGTCTAATGATGTGTGTTTTTAATTATTTTTGTTTGTCGTCATATTTCAAAGTAGTAAAAATGCTTTGATTTAAATTTTTTTAGGTGGTTTCTGGTAAAAAATTGGATTATATAGGTACTTTTTGAAAGCCAATAGTAACAATTGCTAGTATTTTTCAAAATTACAGAGAAAACGGGAATTTTACGCGAAACAAGTTTTAAACAAAATGTTTTTTTTTTTTTTTGTTATAATAACCCAAAAATAAACAACTGTATAGGGTTTGAAATATTCATTGAATATTCATAATAGAATTTACTAGACATAAAATATATTCAAACATTTTTTTTAAATTTGTAAATGTTTTAATTGTCGAATTTTTTATTGTTTTATGTATGTATGTATGATACAATTTTTTAGTAAAAAAGCTTTTTATAGTCTCATAATATGAGGTTTCTCATAAATTTTTCTAAGTATTAGCATTTACTATACATGATAACATTTTTAAAGTTATTCGATTTTTTTTATGCTTTTTATATGAACGTAGATATTATAAATGATTGATTTATTTAGTTTATTTTTATTTATACTATGATACGTATGTTAATAAAAAATTTTAAACATTTAAAACAGGATTTATCATAAGTTATTTTTAAAAAAACATAAGAATATCAAAAATGTACACTTTTTTCATATAAATAATCACCTAATTAAAAAAAAAAATTATATATTATATAAGTAAAAAAAGAAGAAACGATTTTAGTTTTTTTTAATTTTTGTAGCTAATTCAAAAAAATATAATTCCTAAGAACTTGAAATTTTTCGTTACTGCATATTTTATTATTTACTATAGATAATTTACCAATTAAATTTTTTTTATGTAATAAAAAATATATAACAAATAGTAAATTAAACATATTACAATAAAGCATCGTTAGAAATATAGAAAGACATACTGTATTTCTCAGAATGGTTTTTCATTTTTTACTTAAACTTATAGATACAATGGCTTATAACTGAATCAAAATTTAACACATCTTTTATAATAACCTATTTAATAACGATAGTTGGTAGTTGGTACACTCAATATTATATTATGGAGTATAGTTCTCTGTATTTATTAAAAGTTATTTTGTGAATTATAATTTTAAATTTCAATTTAATATCACTCAATCATTTATTGTGTCAATTATTTGATATTTATAATATCGAAATGAGAAAATATAATTCCATAAAATACTTATTAATGATTTAATTGTAGCTTAGATGAGATCACGACTGATACAAATTTCAAACAAATATTGATAATAAAGTGTAATTATATGATTTAATTTTTGTTTTTTATTTTAGAATACTTGAGTTTTCATTGTTAATAATAAGCATTTACAGGAAGAAAATAGTATTTTTATTATTATAATATCCTTTTCTCATTTTTTTAAGAACTTAAGTCTTCTTCTTAAGACTATAAAAATGTCAAATGTCAGATACATAAAATATCTTACATAAAAACATAATCTATTATAGTTTTGTACACAACCTACGACGTAACGCTTGCATAAAATAACATCGTTTGATACGAGAAAAAAATAATACGCCAACTACGAGTAAAATAAATGCTAGAAAGTTTTCAAAAGATAATTAACAACAATATAAGATGTGTAGTAGGATTCCTATTCAGGAATAAAGTAAATTCGTCGTTTTCTGATAATTAATTTTAAAAATTAACGTTTAAAATTATTTTAATTAAAGAAGTTTGAATAATAAACCTAATTTAAGTTTATTTACCATCTACAGATTATTATATACTAGGTGTTATAATCAGATAACATATATATCATACTACATAATATTTATGATATAAATATGCTTTAATATTTTATTTATTTGAACTGTGTAATTTTGACTACCAACAAGCAAAGTTAAATTATTTATGCTACTCCTTAAAACTTTTTATACTTGAATGATTTGTTTTAAAAATAAATTTTCACAGGACATTGAATGTCTATGGATATTTGATGAGGAATAATGATAATTAGGTCATTTGACGTATTGAGTAAATCATCATGTCTGCAAAATTTATAATTCTTTCCGGGTTTCTTCCCACATCCCATGTCAACGATTTGAAACTATTACCATTGATAAAATAAAATACAAAAATTGTAAGTGCCTTTTACGGTTACTTATAGTTGAGTATCATTCTAAAAATGTAAGCTTATGCAGTTATACCTAGTAAATATTTTAAACATACTAC